CTGGTTCTGTTCTCAGAAACCACTCCTTGTGGTGCATAGGGGCCATATGTGATACCAGACAGAAGAAGTCACATGAAAGGCAAGTACCTTACTGCCTACATTCTCTTCTGGTCCCAGGCATAACTAGAAGAAATAAAAATTATTTATGAAGACTTTTTTGTTGAATACTGCATTATAACATAAATTTCTAGTGTGCATATTGAAAATCAACATACGCATAAACTTTAAGTTTACCACTGAAAGTCCAGTTTTCTAAAGAAAAATAGTTTGGGCAGGAAGAGATCAAATAGCACTTTATAAGTCTACATAATTTTTATTTACCTAGAATTCTGACTCTAACATAGTTTATACTTGTGTGTTCTTTTCAAAATATGGATTATTTAAAAAATATGGTCAAGTTTTGGGCCACAAAGGATATGTATAACCACACTGTTGAGAATTAAGAATTTTATAAATTTTATAAATAGAGCCTACCCTGTGTTTAATTGGGCATTTGAAATTTCACACCTTAAAAATTTCTGGATTAAAGAAAAGTTTTAAATAGAAGCAGAAAAATTTTAAATTGAATACCAATTAAAGCCTTGATATGAAAACTTGTATAATTCCTGCAAAGCAATATTCAGAAAGAAATTGAGTCTTGAATTTATTGGCAAGTCAAGGCATTACATGAACAGCATATTATTTATGTTATAAAATGTCTGCATACATATGTTTTTTTATGTAAAATTTGTTCTCTCTGCTGAGATCTGGAGAAATACCCAGTTTATATCAGTTTTGTAGTGTTCTAGAGGGAAAGTATACATATATGATTAAGTTTTAAAAATAGTATTTGTTAAAAATAAGAGTAATGATACAGAATAGACTTTATATTAAAAATAAATCATAATAATTAAAACAGTATGGTATAAGTAGAGAACTATTAGTGATCTCTAGAAAGAAAACAAAAAAGAAAATCTAGGATAGAATCCAAGAGCATGTGAAATTATTGTTTATGATTAATGTGGCATTTCAAACCATAAAGAGAAATGAATCATCATTTGGTGCTAGGGATTTGGGTAGCTAGTTGAAGGTATTTGAAATACTGGGTTCCAGTCTCACACAAAAATAACTTTATAGATCTTGAAATATTTAGTGGTGCTTATGGACCTCCAAGGCTGTATGGTGGTGTGCTCTGGGGACTATGCATGCAGTCCTGGGAGTCAGACTTGGGTCCCTGTGCATGCAAGACACGAGTCCCAGATCACTGAGCTGGCTCCTAGGGCAACCTTTGAGATATTTTCACTCTGTTCAATTATACCTTATCATGAATTTAGGACAATAAAGTGATAATTGTAAATAATGCATATATGCCTTGAAAGCTTAATCTTAGCCATTAGAGAGAAAAAACTAAATGCTATATGTTGTTACATTTAATATATTTTCATAATTTTCTAAACTATTGAAAGTTCACAAGGGGATTTACTTAGTTATAAATAAATACTTGTTAGTCTGGATGATGCCAAGGTTAATCTTCAGCTAAATATGTAATTATGTAGACGAGATTTGCTGAGTTTTGGTAAGTTTGTTTAGATCATTCTATTGTGAGATGCATTCAACTTAAGGATTGAAAGAAATGTTAATCTGAATTTTTAGAAATATGTGTAATGAGATATTGTGAACTTAAAGTGGGTAATGATTTGGGCTTTATATTGCTGTTCCTATAGCACTTAAGATAATTGCACATGGCATGAATATGTGCTCAATAAATGTGTTTTCAGTGAGTGATGATAGCAAACACTTATGTGCAAGATATTTCATGTTTATTAAATTATTAAATTACGTGATTTTCATAACAACTTCTTGAAGTATGTACTATTATGACCACCAATTTATAGTTGAAGAAACTGAGTGACTTTCCTCAGTGTCATTGTTAGTGTGAGTTTCAAAGAAAAATCATGGTGGTGCACGGGATTTTAGCATTCTGTGCCTGAGAGCTGCCTCCCCAGGCTGGATGGTGACAGACAAAGGACCACAGGAATAGAGAAACTGGGCCTTGACCCCAGGCTGGTTGGTTGTTAATTTCTCTCTCCTCCTCAGCATAGTCTGATCTCTCCCCTTACAGCAAGATTGTAGTCATAGTTTTGGTTGTTTCCCCAGTCATCATAGTTTCATCATCCTAGTCTCCTCGTAGACATCACAGTCCTCTAACTCATTATATTTTCTTCCTCATCTCACTATAGTTTCATAGCCCTCTACTTCCAGTCATCATCTTCATCTGGTCCTCCTTCTACCCCTCAAAGTCCCAAAGTCTCAAAATCTCTTGTTTCATCCTCTAGTCTTCAACGAATAGTAGTTGTCAACTTTTTAGTCCTCACAGACCCTCTAGGCCTCAAAATCCCAAATTCTCATTTCTCATCCTCCTCTCTTTCCCCTAACAGCATACTTACATAGCAATCATGAAGGGTGGCGATACACAAAAGTGGGGTAGAACAGCAAACAGATGTAAAGCCATTCACTCCTTCAGGAGATACATTCAAAGACGAAAATTTCATCTGAGGGTTCAGCACTCCAAATTACTAGGAGATCCACTCAAGAGCAGGATTCCCTCAAGGGTGAATTGCTTTCTCTTTTCCTCAGCTAGTAATAATCCATTTAAACAATCATAGTAAATTTACCTCTTATAATATTTCTAGCAATGTCATTTTGTATGAATACAGTAAGAAATATGTTAAGCTTAAAGGTTGGCTCTTCCCGGGGGACATTTTGCTGTATATTCCAGACCACAGTCCTCAGGCCAGGTTAGTCTTTCCTAATTCCAGCAGGGTCTTTATTCAGTTACTTCTTTTTTGGGTTATGACAGAGTTTGTTCCATGACTATGCTCTTGAGTTATTATACTTATGGTGCTTAGCTTGTCTCCTTTTGATGCCAGGGTAGCTTACAGCTTGCCCTGGGTTCATCTAGTCCCTTCATCAGGACTCTGCTTTTGGCGTGGTAGGAACTAAGGCAACTGAGGCTTAAGTCACGTAAATATGGATCCTCAGGAGTAAATATTATTTGGAGTCAGTTAACTCCCATGTTACAAAAGCATAGCATGAACTGTCTTCCTCTGTCTATACAAAAAGGACATTGCTAAATAAAACATGCAAATGACATAAAGGAAAGAGAGAAGCAATATAGCATTATTATCCTTGATGGAATTGAGTGTACCTCAGAGGCACTGTTATGGGAGTAACTCAGTAAACCTAAGTTCCATTTGGGAGGAGCAAGGACAACCCAGAGTTATCCATCAAGTAAGTAGTAGATCTAAAATTCTGTTTAGGTGTTCTGATTCTGAAGCTCTTACTTTTTTTTTAATTGAATCACTATGAGAAACAGTTACAGAGTTGTTCATGATTGATGTCAGTCATAGAATGTTCCAATACCCATCCCTTTGTCAGTGTGCATTTCCCACCAACTCTTATATTTAATCATTGTGCTGTTTTTTTCTTGAAATCATTAAGGCCTGTCTTTAGAGAGGGGATGAGGAGAGAGGTCAAGACATCTGATTCAAAGTTAACGAAGAATTTCATCAGTTGACACAAATAATTTTATATGATATGTTTTATATGTTTTCTGTGCTTGCTTCAATTATAATAGGAAATTCATTTTTGACCTTGTGGGAAATTCATTTTTGACATTGTAAAGATAATCTTTTTATCAAGCTACTACATAGGAGATACTTAAGATATAAAAGACAGTAATATATAGTTATAATATTTCAATAAAATATTCAAATAGTAGCACACTGAAAAATAGAAGAAACATAAATATGTGAACCATTTTGTTCTGGGGTATGAAGTGATCAGATTCCACATATATCTTTTATTAAAGAAATCTTTTAGAGGGATGTTCTGTTCATAGGTAGTATATGTAATAGAAGCCATGAACTTCCTTTTATGTTATCAAAACAGATTTCTTAGATTATTTATATTTTTGTTCTTTTGTGAATTGTTTGAGATATGAATTTAAATCAGATATAGAAAGACTGGGCCCAGAATCCCAGAACTCCTTTTATTTATTCATTTATTTATTTGTTTGCTTATGGGGTCACACCAAGTTGTGCCGGAGTTTACACTAGCTCTATGCTTAGAGATTACTCCTGGTAGGCTGTAGGGGCTCCACATGGGGTTGCCAGGATCTAGTCCAGGTCAAGGGTCAGCTGTGTACATGCCAGGGATCTAGTCCAGGGCAAGGGTCAGCCGTGTACATGGCAAGTGCCTCACTCACTATTCTGTGTCCTTACCTAACCCCAGCGCTCCTTTAATACAGGTGTGATACTAAGTTCAGTGCAAAATACTTGAGTCTGAAACTCTTCCTCGTCTTCCTCCTCTCCCTCTTCCTATACCACCTTCCTGCCTCTGCCTTTCTCCTTCTACCTCTTTCTTCCCTTTCTCTCCCTCCCTCCCCTTCAACAATCCCTTTATTTTCCATTCTCACTCCTTCCCTTTTGAGATGTACCCAGAACTCATGAATGCAAGATATGCTCATTATTATTGAGCCACTTGAAAGATACCTTATTTAAAGGAAACCTCTAAGTCAGTGAAATTCTTTGTTTTACCATGGAAAATAATAAAACACATTAAGAAATAAGACAAACTAATAAACATTTAATATTAGGAAATAGTGTGATGGGGACCTTATTTTGTTATTTATCAATAAATTGTAAGTGTAAGTATTTTGTGGATACTGATAACTTACTATATTGAATTATGTGAATTAATAAAACGTTGTATGAGAAAGTATACTGATTTTTTTTTTAAAAAATTTCTTCACTAGAGGGTGCTGTTTAAGCAGTCATTACTTTAAAAATGTCATCTCACATTACTTACTGAGATTGGGTTTTTGAATCACCTAATTTATTAAGACCTTTCATTTCTTTGCTCTCAAAATAATACTAACGGTATTGTGTATGGTTAAATTCCTCAAATTGAGTTGCTATGAGTGTTCCGAAGTAACATCAATGTTTATTTTCTTCCTCCAGGAGATTTATGACTCCGCTCATGTATGCTGCACGGGATGGTCACCCTCAGGTGGTTGCGCTCCTTGTTGCTCATGGAGCAGAAGTCAATATCCAAGATGAGAATGGTTACACTGTGAGAATTGCTTGTACATTCCTTGTTGTTTCGAAGACATTACCATGAATTACTGTTATCAGTAATCCATTCAATTCTAAGAAGTGAAAATCAAGACGAGCTAATATAAATTTCCACATTTATTTGGCCTGTCTCCTTTTTCAAGGAAGAAATCACTCACCATTTCCCTAGAAATCTACCCTCTTTTAGGGAACAAACAGGAAGTACCCCCCATTACCCAAGGTCACTATCAGCTCCCCTGGACCATTCGTGCCTGCTTTAGGAAACACTGAATTAGGAAAGAAAAACAACAGCTGAAGTAGGAAAGGAAAAGAAAAAATAATGACACTTCTAGACCTCGTTCTTAGACTGAAAAATTGCAAAACACAGAAAGCCTGTGTTCTAAAATCTTGTTGCCACCCCAGTTTTGAGTAATGTACATGAATGTAGGGGTCTGCAAAAATTTGGGCAGTCCTAAGAAGTTCCTGGGTATGCAGCAACCAAAAACTAATTAAAATTCAAACACATAATGAAACTAAGATATTTCTGGCAGAGCTTGATTGTCATGTCAGGTGAACAGAAGATGCCAGTGGAAGAAGTTTTAAGAAGCACTACTCTAAAATGCACATAGAATTCTTTGTTTATTAAAAAAAAATGGTTCAGTGATTGACTTACAAACCATCTCAGTCCATAACATCACTTCACTATTGTACATGTGCAAACATCACCTGAGTTTATAAAATAAACTGCGGACTGCACAAATGGCTCACTCCCAGCACTGTACCAGGAGTAGCTTTCAGGCACTGTCAGATGGGGCCCCAATACAACCCAAATCCTAGCTAGAGTCTGCTTTTGCAAACACAACTTTGGAAATAAGTTAACATTATATTGTTAAATAAGATTGCATCACTCCATTAATGAACTGTATTCATTTTTTAGGGGGTAGGATACCACGCCCAACTGTGCTCAGGGCTTATTCCTGATGGGGGTTGAGGGATCTTACAGGGTAGCGGATTGAACCCAGGTCGGCTGCCACTCTGTTATTTCTCCAGCCTCTTCACCCCCTTTTTATTTGCTACAAATACTATTGAAAAGTTTTCTCTGTGTCTCTTGTACCCTCCCTCCCTAAAGATCAACTTCCCCCCTCTTACAGGCTCTAACATGGGCTGCACGTCAAGGTCATAAAAACGTCGTTTTAAAGTTGCTTGAACTTGGAGCTAATAAAACACTGCAAACTAAAGATGGGAGGACAGCAAGTGAAATTGCAAAAAGAAATAAACATATAGAGGTATCCTGTGCCATGCTGCGTTATTATTTATAGAAATTCATTTTTAGCATTCAAAACTAAAATAGTGTATTTGGCTAATACTGTATATTTAAATACATATTTTTGTCTTGCCAGATAATACCAGATAGTACAAAAAATTTTGCAGAATATTTATTATATAAATTAATCTATTAAATATTTGTTAGGATGTTATTTTTAGCTAGTAAGTAGCTAAATAAGAGGCTATTTACAGTGCTTTAATTTAAAAATTACGTAGTTGTATAACTATGTAAAGGATTTTGTCTTATTTTGCCTCTAGAAAGAAAGTTACAGCTATGCAGTTTTATTTTACATTTTTAATTATATTTTTGGGGAATTTTGGGGCATACTGGAGATGCTCTGTTATTAGTCCTGGCTCTGCACTCAGGAATCATTCCTGATGGTGCTTGGGAGACTACAAGGGATGCTGGGAATCGAACCCGGGTTGGCTGCATGCAAGGCAAGTGCCTTGACTGCTGTATTATCTCTCTGGCCCCATTTTTAATTTTTCAACTATAGAGTTCTAAACGTTTCAAATGCGTTCATATTTTAATTAAAGTATTTCATCAGTTAGTGTATTTAAAAGGTAATAAAATTTGAGAATGTAACTAAAGCATCGTTTCAAGTTTTAATTGATGTACATTGGACAATTTAAATATTAGATTAAGCTGTATTATACATGAGACAAGATACATAATAAAGTGATAACTTATTACCATATAATTTAGTCTCATTCAGTTGTGAATTTTGTGATATTTTCCATGTATTAAATTACTTTGATGATATAAACTTATGATTTGAACATTAAAACTTTTTACCAAAATCCTATAATTTCTAAGGATCAAATATAATTGTGAAACTTACATAGTTTGAAAGCTTCTAAAACTGAGTTTTATAATTTAGAAACATGTAACATTCCAAAGTCAAAACCTGTAGTAATTAGACCATGCTGCTTTGCATGTAGAATAACTAGCTTAATGTTTTAAGTAATTTGATAAACATATTGAAAATATTTTAACAAAAACTGTTTCAGAATTATTATAGAGTAAGTACTAGTCACTAAAGTCATGTGAAACTTCAAAAAACAATGTGAATTTTCTTGTAAGCTTGAAAATTTTGAGAACTTTAGTTTAATGAATTAATACATGCATAGGGTAGTTGCCATTGAATTTATGCTTTCAACACACTTTAGAGTATCAAACATAACTGAGTTCTAAATTGTTTTTTGAACTGAGACTTGATTTTTTATTTTGGCTGATTATGTAACATAACCTAAATGGCCAGAAAATTATTTAAAAATTATTTTTAAGTAATTCCTTATCTATATAAGGTATAGTTAATATTTGTTTACATTTAATCATGCTTATTCTTTCCACTTCACAGTGTAATGGTACTACCTTCTCTTTCTTTCTAAGTTACTATCCAAGTGGAGTTTTCATTGTATATTTTACTATTATTATGATTATCTCTAATTTTTACTTTATTGAGTGAGATATAGTTTTCCTAATTATTATTTTAGATCATGAAAATAACTTGGTTTCATAAATGTTGTTCTCAAAGTGGTGAGTTGTTCTTACAGTAGTGAGTAACAAAGTTCTGTCCCTCTCACCTAGCAAAAATTTTCTTTCTGGGTATAAAATAATCAGATGGTTAATTTCTATTATGTTTAAGTGATAACTTATTGTGATGCTAAGTATCTTTGGCATGTTTACTTTTTTCAGATTTTCAGCTTTCTTTCTTTGACTTTAAATCCTTTGGAAGGAAAACTCCAACAGCTAACTAAAGAAGAGACAATTTGCAAACTATTGACAACAGAACCTGATAAAGAAAAAGATCACATATTTAGGTAGTGTGTTTTACTTTAACAGAACACATTTATGTGAATGAAAATTGTGCATTTTAATTTATTATGGTAAATGTGATAACTTTTTTAATTGTGTGGTATTTTAGGCATCTCTATCACTCAAATGTCTGGATTTAGTAGTGCTTTGTTTTCCAAAATTTAAGAAAAAATTTATTTGTGCATACTAACATTAATGTGGGTAATTTTTTAGCTTAATAGTAAAATTTAAACTTTAAAATTTATTTTTAAAAAGGCTCTAAGATTAAATATTTATTATTAAAGTTTTGTTAAAGCTATAGTGCAACTTGCTTTCTAGTTTTTCTTAGTATATTTCTGGTTTTATAATCTAAAATAATAAATGTATTTCATCCTGAAAATAGTTGTTCAGGCACAGAATCGTTCTCTTCTTATCCAAATTTAAAATAATTGCATTTCACTGTTTGGAATTAAAAGATATTTTCATCTGTAGATATTTCATAAGTACTATATATTGGTAAAGACTTTCATTTTAGGAGAAACTAAATATTTTATTATCAGCACTTTCTCTCTTGATCTATATGTTTAGTCAAGAAACCTTTATCATTCCTTTGATAAAGTATGCAGATTTGCAAATATATTCTTCATGGATTCATTCTTACTGCCATCTCATTTTGCATTGTAAATATATTTTATTGCTTGTGCATTTATAGTGTGTTATGACATTGACATTGCTATAAATATGTGTAGTTCATATACAGCATTTGGAGATCTGGAAATATTTTTACATGGTCTTGGACTTGAACATATGACAGATTTATTAAAGGTAAGATTTTGTACAAGCTACAGTGAGTTTTGTTTGTTGATTAGTATAGCATTAAACATTCATGAGCAAGTTTATAAAAGAGTACTGATTACGTTTTTAATTTCTAGTATATCTCATTTTAAGAATATAAGCATTTAAAAGTTGCTTTTTGTAGAAATGCACACAAATTGGAATATGACTGGATCAAATAGTTTTTTCCTACTGCCTGAATATTTAAAGAATAACTCATCTAAATTAAGAATACCCTGTCTTCAGTTTGATTTGGTGTTGCCCATCTTCTTGCTTCATTATAAGCTATACAACTCTCTGTGGGCTATATTGTTCCATGTGCAAACTTAGGATTTTGGTGTTGCCTACACCCAGAAGTGCAGGTGCCACCAAAGCCACTCCCCTGATATTTGGAAGTCACAGAACTACACATGATGGTTCTTGAGAAACCATGCAATTCCAGAGTAATTTCTGAGTGCATAGCCAGGAGTAACCCCTGAGCATCTTCGGGTGTGACCCAAAGGGCCAATAAGTTTCTTTTAGTCTAAACTAATACGTACTGTATATAGTGTAATATACTTTACTCTCTACCCAGTACTCTACTCTTGTATATTCCTTCCTGTCTAGAAAGTTGAATATAGGAGTTAGCATATAACTAAATTAATACTTTTACCTACTTCCCCTTCTAATGCATTATTTATATTAAATGGTGATTTCCTCCCCTGTTCTACAGGAAAGGGATATAACTTTAAGACATCTTTTAACCATGAGGAAAGATGAATTTACAAAGGTTTGTATCAGTATTTTAAAATTCAGGCATTGGGGCTGGAGAAATAGTACAACAGGCAGGGCGGCGTTTTCCATGCACGCGACCGACACGGGTTCAATTCCCAGCATTCCATATGGTCCCCCGAGCACCACCAGGAGTAATTTCTGAGTGCAAAGCCTGGAGTAACCCCTGTGCATCACTGGGTATGACCCAAAAAGCAATAAATAAATAATTCAGCCCTTATCTTTTATCTATATAAAACTATGGATTATTTTTTGAATTTTTATTTATTTTTATTATTTTTTAATATTTATTTATTGAATCACTGTGGGGAAAGTTACAAAGCTTTCAGGTTTAAGTCTCGGTCATGCAATGATCAAACACATTTCCCTTCACCAGTACTTATTTTTCACCACCAAGAACCCCAATATACCCCCCCTCCCACCCCTCCCAATGCCTGTGAGGCAGATGAATTCTGATTAACACTCTATCTACTTTGATTACATTCATTATTTTGACAAAAGAGCACTATTATTATTTAGAGTTTACAGCTAACAATCAGAACTGCCGAAAAGGCATTGTGAAATAATTTGTTTTCTACAGTTAGTTATGAGATATACATATGCATATACATTACAGTTATATGATGTCACGTGGCCACCGCACAAATTTAGATTTCTGATTATTTTACTTATTAAGCCTGGAGGTATTTCCGCCAAGAGCCAGATAATTACGAGATTGGTTTCTGTGGCTCTAGAACCATGGCCATGCCAGAGAGCCGCTTGTGGGGGACAACTCATGACCTCAGTAGGGCATAAAGGACGAGCTGGGAATGCCCCCTTTCTCATGAGGTTTCAGTTGCCCCATCACCACTGGCTCATACCTGGCTTTCCAAAAATCTCCGAGGAGGCCGCCATCTTGCTGCCCAGGGGAAAAAAGGTGACACCCCTTCCCTCCTGGGCAGGCATAGTACCGTGGATTAATGCATAGTCCATTCACTTTTCTGCAGCAAGCTGCCGGGCTCTGCATTAAGTCTTTTTGCTTCTGGAGCCATGGCCGTGCCCAAAATTATGGATTCTTTTATCTTTTTTTTTCTCCTGTAAAAATCCTAATGCTCCAAATTTCAAGTAATATTTATTAGATCTTTGGCTAGAATCATTACAAAATTTTTAATTAAATAATGATTATGGAGATATAACACCTAAATCTCCTGTGACATTCTTACAATTATTTTTTTATTAATATACTATGACAAATGCTTAAAAATAATAATTTTTCTGCATGAACTCATTGGGAACTTGATTTTGATTTTTGAGTTGTCATTTTGGGTTTTCGAACCACTCCTAGAGGTGTTCCATGAACCATACTCCATGCTGTGATCAAATCCAGGTAGATCTGCTACATGCAAGGCAAGCTTTGCCTGCTATTCTGCCCTAGAAACTTGAAATGTGGAGTATTACAGAAAATGAAGATATAATTTAGTTAAATAAAGACTAGAAAGTTCAGCTAGTATTAAAGGTAGAATACAAACAAAAGAAGATTTCCTTCCTTCCTTCCTTCCTTCCTTCCTTCCTTCCTTCCTTCCTTCCTTCCTACCTACCTACCTATACAATCTCTCCAACCTAGAAGACTTAATGTTCTCTTGTAAATGATAATACTATTTTGAAGGAAAAGTTAGTGGTTTGGGGGGGAAATTTTATCTTACAATCTACTAATTTTTGATTCATCATCATCACGGTCCTCCCATTGTTCATCGATTTGCTCAAGCAGGCCAAGTAACGTCTCCATCATGAGACTTGTTGTTACTGTGTTTGGCACATAGAATACGTCACGGGTAGCTTGCCAGCCTCTGCCGTGCGGGCGAGATACTCTCGGTAGCTTGCCGGGCTCTCCGAGAGGGGCAGAGGAATAGAACTCAGGTCAGCCATGTTGGCCGCTTATAAGGCAAACGCCCTACCTCTGTGCTATCGCTCCAGCCCAATTTTTGTTTATGTATTTTATATTACAGTTCAATAATTTGTATACTACACAAATTGACTGTAAAGGTAAAGGCCCTCCCGTTGATCGTCGATTTGCTCGAGCGGGCCCAGTAACGTCTCCATTGGAGACTTTGTTGTTACTGTGTCTGGCATATCAAATACTCTCGGTAGCTTGCCGGGCTCTCCGAGAGGGGCGGAGGAATCGAACTCAGGTCAGCCATGTTGGCCGCGTGTAAGGCGAACGCCCTACCGCTGTGCTATCGCTCCAGCCCAAATTGACTGTAGTCACTGCATATAAATTTTGAACTACACCAAGTCAAGTTTATTTTAAATACTAAGTTATTCAGATGCAGCTATTTTAGTTCACCTTAAAATTATTTTTGCTTAGAATGGAATTACAAGTAGAGATCAACAGAAAATTATGGCTGCTCTTAAAGAACTAGAAGTAGAAGACATAAAGTTTGGAGAATTGCCCGAAGTGGCGAAGTTAGAAATCAGGTAAAGTTAACTCCTTGTTTTACATTAATATTGTTTAGAATTATTTTTAGTTTAGTTTTGATAATGTCTAAATCATTTTTCTTGATGCTATAATTTTTCCCAAGGAAATGTTCAGTTCATTTTGCACTATATTGTGTTCTGTAATAGGAAAACTTTATAAATTCAGTTTTTATAACGCATTTACTAAGAATCAAAGCAATGAGATGCCTTTATGTTAACTCACATAGAACATTTTTAAATGTTTCACTGTATTTTGACAAAGGTAGTAAATAAAAAAACTCTTCCTTTTCATACTGAAGTTCTTAATTCATTCTAAGTGTCAAACTGAAATTCACCACAGTAATGTTTCTGTATAGAACAGTAAGAAAGTGTCTCATGTAGTTTAGTTCTTTTTCCAGCCTTATTGTATAAGTTGTTTTCAGTATATATAGTTTGCTTTCAGTACTATAAGCTATCAAGCACTTACTAGTAGTAGTCTAAAATATTATTAAAGTGTTTTAGTAATATAGTGGTATCAATAGATCAATACATTATATATATTTGAGATTATGATGGTTTGTTAACAATATCTTAATGTAATTGTAAATGTTTAAACCTTTTATTTGAAATAATTTTGAATTCACAGAGAACATTGAAAGAGACATACAAAGAGGTCCCATGTCTTCACAGCCTCACCTTCTTTTTTGTTATTGTTGTAGCAAAATCAGAAAATTGACACTAGTTCAGTCCACATAGCTGATTCTTATTTTACCAGTTATACATGTACCCATTTATTTATTTGTATAACTATGCAGTTATATCACATGTAAAGTTTCATGTAACCACTACTATAATCTATACATAACATATTTTTACTTATAAGACTTCTTCTAAAATTCCTTTATAGCCATGCCCCCCCAAACTCTCAGTCATTATTTTTCATAATAATATTTTATAAATGCTACATAAAAGGAAGCATACAATTTGTGCATTTTGAGGTTTGGTTGTTGTGGGGTGTTTTGTTTTTTTAACCACCCTGATTTCTTTGAGGTTCATTCAAGTTATTTTATATGCCAATTATTTTTATTATTTCCAGTTAATAGTTCTGGGCTGGAGCTATCGCACAGTGGATAGGGCATTTTCCTTGCACGCAGCCGACCTGGTGGACCCAGGTTCCATTCCTCCACCCCTCTCGGAGAGCCCGGCAAGTTACTGAGACTATCTTGCCCGCATGGCAAAGCCTGGAAAGCTGACATATTCGATATGCCAAACACAGTAACAAGTGTCACAATGGAGAAGTTACTGGGCCCACTCGAGCAAATCGATAAACAATGGGGGACAGTGATAGTGACAGAGACAGTTACAGTTCTGTGGTATGGATATGTAATTTGTTTAGTCTTTTACCAGTTGTAGGAGTTTGGATAGTTTTTGGTTTGGAGCTATTACAAATAAAGATGCTCTGAGCATTTATTTGTAGAATTTTTTTTTGTGAAAGTTCATTTTCATTTCTCTGAGAGACTGTTCCATTTTATATTCCCACCCACAGTGTATTACAGTGTATGAGAAATCTGTTCGTTTTACTTCCTCACTAGCATTTGTTGTTAGTATTCTTTTCCTGCTGGTTATGTTGTGGGGAAGAGGGTTGGGACCACAGCCAGTGGCGCTTCCTTAAGGGCTCTTTCTGGATCTTCTCAGGAGTGACCTCTAGCAGCACTCAGGTGACTGTGTATGTTTCTGGCGATTCAAACCACAACTGCATGCAAAGCAAGTGCCTTAATCCCTATACTATGTATGTCTCTTTCCCTAGAACTACTTCATTTTTTTGTTGTTTTTGTTTTTGGGTTTGGGCTTGTTCCTGACCCTGCATTCATGGATCACTCCTGATGAGACTCAGAGGACCATATGTTATACTAGGGATCAAACCTGGGTTGGCTGTAGGCAAGGCAAGCACTTTACCAAGCACTTTACCCACTTTTCTACTGTTCCAGGCTCTCCTAGAACTAATTTTAAAAGTTGCTCCAGTAGGAGTACTTTGCCCACAGCATAATTGATTTGTTCTAGCAAATACTCACTTTCGGTTACTGTGTAGATGAAAATATTCTGTTGGGTATATGATTTGCAAGTATTTTCCCAGTTTGTAATGTTTTTTCCCCCATCTTTTAAATAGAACGTTTAATAGAGGAAAAGGTTCATGAATTTTGTCAAATTTTCCTTTTATGAATCTTACTAGTATCACGATTAAGGAAAAGTTATAAGAAGTTAAGTTCTAAAGATTATTTTTCCTGTTTCATTTTTTCTAAAAGTTGTGTTGTATTCACTTAAGTCTCTGATCATTTCTGAATTCATTTTTGTGACAGTGTAAAGCACAGGTTGAAATGCATATTGAATTGACCCCGCTCCATTTGTTGAAAGCCTGTCCTGCACAACAGAATTGTTTTTGGTTATTTGTCACAAATTATTTGGCATATTTGATGGATCTATTCTGGGTTTTCTGAGTTTTTTAATGTGTCTTATCTCTTTGAAAGTACCACACTGCCTTGATCAAGTATATAAAAAGCTTTAACATCAAGAAGAGTAATTCCTCCCATTTTATTTTTCAAAATTCAGCTTTTCTTTTATGTGCTTTTCTTCTATATCCACAACATATTTATGAGATTTTAATAGGAATTGCATAAGTTCTATTAAGTAGGCCGTTTCCAGGGATCAAACTGTCACATGTAAAGCAAACACCCTATGCACTGACTGTTCTATCTCCCCAGCCACAATTAAATGCTTTCAATAAAATAATTTTTTGTTAAGATCGAGGGAGATGATTTTGAAGGGATCCTCTCCTTTGATGTGCACAAGGAACCTAGAATCCACTCCTGATATTCTCAGCCAACTGGGCTAGTGGTACAATGGGAAGGCCTGAATATCAGGTGCTTCTTAGAGGCCTCAAGATGCAGGTATCGCCCAGGATACCCTAGAAGGGCTCCACGGTTTACTTGGTGAACCATCTGGTATCAGGGTTGCAAATACCTTAACCCCTCTGCTATCACTCTGTCTCTTGTATTTCTGAGGATATTCTCATGAAGGGTTATTGGATTTTGTCTACTACTTATTTTCTGTCAGTTGATTACATGGCTTTTTCTCCCTTACTTTGTTTGTATGGCAGAGCATCTTGTTGGAACTTCAGTAATTGAACCAGCCTTGCAAACCTGGAATTAATATTAAATGGTTGTGGCTTATGTAAGAACCTGGCCCTGAGCACTTCTCAGCACTAGTTGGATTAATATTATCACATGATTTGCCATGAAAAACTAGCACTCTTCAAATGCATTGTAGCACTGTAGCACTGTCGTCCTGTTCATTGATTAGCTCGAGCAGGCACCAGTAATGTCTCCATTTGTCCCTGTCGCGTGCTAGTGTAGTCCAGTGGTGTCTGCTCGCTCCAGGAACACAAAGTGAGACTTCTTGTTACTCCTTCTTGGCATATCGAATATGCCATAGGTAGCTTGCCAGGCTCTGCTGTGCTGGTGGGATATTCTCAGTAGCTTGCTGTGCTCTTCGAGAGGGATGGAGGAATCAAACCCAGGTTGACCACGTAAAAGGCAAACGCCCTACCCACTGTGCTGTCACTCCATTATATTATATATTAATATAATTTTATGCATTAATAGTAATAATTCCCAGAATAATTATTGCAGACAGTTTCTTTATGTCATGTGTCACTTATCTTATAGATATGTCACTTATCTTATAGATATGTGTCACTTGTCTTATAGAATTTAAATGTAGGATAGAATTAAAAACTTCTTCTACCTCCAAGATGATAATTATTTTTTCAGTATTTTTCATAAGTATTAATACAAGTAGGCATTCCCCAGATTAAAATACTTAGATTTTCGGATACTAATAACACAATAATCATTTGCCTTCCATGAAACCAAATATTTTTGAACTTTTCTCATTTAACATCACTTACTAACCAATCTATAATTTTTTATTTATACAGTAACTTTCTTTACCCTTGGAGAATTGTGAACTAAAAGTGTTTCCCTTGGGGCTAGAGAAGTAGCACAGTGGGTAGGGTGTTTGTCTTGCACGTGGCCAACCCAGGTTCGATTCCCAGCATCCCCAAAAACTTTCAGGAGTATTTCTTGAATGCATAAACCAGGAGTAACTCCTGTGCATCTCTGGGTGTGACCCCAAAAGCAAAAAAACAAAGTGTTTCCCTCATTCTGTGTACTTAGATTAATTATGTCAAGTACTGCCATTCATCTCATTTTTAAAATTGTTGTTGTAGCTAAGGTAATACGTTTACAGTAATGTTAAATTATTGTTGTAGCTAAGGTAATACATGTACAGTTACTGCCACTTAGACACCAAAGTGCCCAAGACTCCCCACCACTTTTCCTAAATTACTTCTTGTCTACCTCTTCATTTCTCCTCATCCTCTTACTTCTTCGTGGTTCTATCAGTTTTGTAATCCAAGACCAAGGGTTTGCCATCAGTCAAAAGCAAGCTTCTTTTTTTTTCTCATGTACTATAGATGATTGCGATGACTAGGATTTTTCCTTCTCCCTCTGACATATTTCACTTAACACGGCACCCGCCAGTTCCATCTAAGTTGTAGTGGACTCTAAGGTTTCATTTTTTCAGCTGCATAATATTTCATATTTTCAGATGAGTAATTTCACATGTGTATATATGCAATAGCTTTATCCAGTCCCTTGTCATTGCTCGTTTGGATCATTCCCATATCCTAGTTGTACTTTTAAATAGAAGCATCTCAGTGAACATAGATGTTGTAAGCATCTCTTCTTAAATCATTCTTCTGCTCACTCTTTTAATTCTAAAATTTTTGTCTTTAAAAAATATTATCAGCATTGGTGGAGGGATTGGTATTTGAACATTGAATTCCTCAAAAACTATTTTTTGAACAATTTCATAAATTATGGTGTTATAATAACAATTAAAAATATCATAGGGACTGGAGAGATAGCACAGTGGGTAGGGCGTTTGGCTTGCATGCAGCCAAC